GGCCGCTCCATGTCTCGACTGAGGGGGAGGACAAGCGGAGAAGGAAGGTCAGCAACTAAATCCACCTAAAATAGACTTGGATGCCATGCTGTAGGGAGTCCTAAGTGGGGAGAAGACAACTAGAATAGAAAATGTTGGATTTCAGATGTCTCTTCCCTGTGCACAGCCCCAGTCCTTGTCATAGTGAATGCAGGTACTAGGTATTGTTATCTGAGTAACCTGGCGTCTTACTGCCCATAAAACAACAATTCCTGTTCTGCATGGCAAACACCACTTTGTGGCTGCATTTGGGTACTGTCTATAGCAGAAGGTCCGTTCCCAGCAGGGCACGATGGAGCCACAGAGTGGGTACAGAAGGACTGTTTGGCTGCCATCCACCTCATGACTGCGAGCGTATCCTTTGTATTAATGGGAAAGGGTCTCCATAGCCCCTTAAACCTGCTTTTTGATTAAACCTGGAAGTTTCACAGTGCTTTAAAAATAGTATCTGCTAAAACGTGCAGTTTACTTCCTTGTGCCACCTCTGGAGCACAGGCAGCCAACACAGAGGTCCCAAGTCTCATGAAGCTTGTGATTATTCACTGCTGAACTAAGCAAGGTCCAGAAAACAATGACATGCCCTGATCCTGAAAGTTAGAATTGGCTCGTGGCAATGCGTAAGCTGTTAATCATCTAAGATGCTGTACAGCTGCTTTCAAGAAAACATTCCTTGGTGGTGGTCATTTTGGTGAGTCTTGACATGTGCAGGGGGTTTCTGTGCTGAATTCTTAAGAGGCCAAACATTATTTGAAGGCCAGCTTGTGAAAGACTCTTCTTGCAACAGCTCGTGATTATCAGCCTGAGCAAGGGAAGGAAAACGCCCCAGAAAGGGGCAAATACGTGCATTGAGTTCAACAGTGAAAGCTTCCTGCCTTCCTCGTCTTCTGTGCGCAGCTGGAGTGGGTCGAGCAGCGTTTGGCTGGGAGTCTGCAGACTGGGCCCTGCAGTGATGTGGTGTGTAACCACACGTGTTACTTCCCAAGCTTTTGGATCTCCGTTGTCTCACTTTTTGTCTGACTTTGAAAAGCCTCAGGGGCAACAACCATCTCTAACTCAGTGTTTACAGCATAATCCAGCCTTGATGTGTCGTTTTGGACGCTATGGGCAACTCGTTAGTAAAATGAAGAATTGACAGTTACACCACCTGTGGGCCAAGACGGATGAAGGAAATTGTGAGACTTCAAGAAGATACAAAAACAAAGCAAAAAGGAAAAAAAAAAGTTCTTTAGTTTAGATACCTTAAAATACAGCCATCAAAAGGAAAAAACTCATTGAAATTGGCAGTGTTTGTTGATGTCTAAACTTGCTAGACATTATGGATGTGAAAGAGACATTTTAAATTATGTAGGGAATTGGGAAATATTTTTAACTTTGATTTGAGCTGAATAAATATGTCGCAATTTCATCTGCTGCATTAGGTAACTATGACTGTCATAAGTTCCAGTGGAACAAATTTTAGCATTTACAGTTTTTGAAATGTTAGTGCTTTTCATTCATATTTACATAGGGAAGGTTTTCTTTCCAGCAGTGTTTTTTCAGACTGGGTAGAGGGGCAAGGGAAATATCTTTTTGGAATCAGTTCATGCCAAGCTGAGGTGAGATTGAGACCAAAAATTTCCTCCTTTCAATTTAGAAGGAAAAATTTTTGGAAAAGACTGAGAAGTGCCAGTTCTCAAAATTTAAAGGACATGGGACCAAATTCTAACGTGCGCTTAGTGGGATTTTCAGAAATTACAGACTTGTTAGTCTGTCATTTCCTGATCTTGTATGTTATATTTCTGTTTAGTGAATCGGTTCTAAGTGCAAAACATTTTTCAGTACTGCACTCGTATTTTCCTGTGTATGCAGCACACTTAAGATAGTTATATTTAGCCAGTGAAAATGTACATAAGCAGCATCCTACAATATATTATGGTTCCTAATTGCCATCCGTTTGTAGCATGGAGCTATTTCAAGCAGAAGGATAATTCGAAATGTCTCAATCACCACTTGCCACATAAACCCAGTATTTTTAGCTTGTGTTAAAGAGGATAGTCTCTTAAACAGAAATAGGTAGTATGTCTGTCTGTCTTAGCAACTGAGCAGAATTAACCTTTAGTTTTATGGAAAGCAGCAAAAAGGCAAAGTGCGAATCAGCGTTAAACTCGTGATTTAAATCTCTTCTGAAGCTTTGTTTGGTGGTGATGGGAGCAGACACGATTGCTGGAGTCCCCCGTGCAGCTTCTGTTGCAGTAACAGCAGTTCCATTCCCACTCTTGTCCTTACAACGCCAGGTCCTCTAGAGCGCCTGAATGGAAGGCCAAACTAAGACACTCAGCAGTGGCTACTGCCAAACTTCTGTCCAGAAAAGCTGTTTTGTACTGAAAGTGTGTGTGGTCATGGTGCACGTGTAGGAGGAGTCAGCTGGGTGTGTTACAAGCCCAGGGATCTTCCTTCTCTCTGTTGTCAGCCATACATCCTCTTCTGCTCTTTCTCTGTAGTCCAGTGATCGTATAGCCCATCTGGTTGGGTTTCTTCTGGGAAGACATGACTTTTAGGCTACGATTTTTGGTGGATGAGTGCAGCTTTAATGCTTGGGGCATAATAATTCCTGATTATTGATTACAGTCTGACGTTAGCACAGCCAGCCCCTTACGCGTCTGCTTCCTGAGCCGCACCCAACTGTCATACAGGTTATGTCAGCTGCACCAAAGCACAAAATACAAATCCCATTCAAGTGGTTCATCTTTCTCATCTGTTGGTTGGTTTGTGAACGGTACAAGCCTGCTCCTGCTGCCCTCCTGTTGAGGTGGGAGGTCCGAGCCTGCTAATGACCAAGTTTAAGGAGTGAGGAAAAGGGGAGAGTTGTTGTTACGTGAGCTCCCCGTTGTTGTAACGAAGCTGTGCAGAGCACAGGTAATGCTGATGGGGGGGCAACACAATTGCGCGTGCACAGAACTGTATTTTCCAAAGAAGCCTAAAAGTGATGTGCCCAGATGAAGGATTACCATCTGAGGGCGATTCTTACCCTTAGAGTAAGAGTAGCATAGGGAGAGGCTTCAGTTAAGAAAGTGTTGCTTTGCTCTGTTACATAAAAAAGAGCCGCTGTGTCTACTGGGCTTTTGTGTGGAGTTGAGGTTTCTGGCAATGAACTGTTTGTTTCTGGTGCCACATTCATTTTAAGTTGTTCCAGACTTGTCATGTCGAAGAGGCAACTTGTAGACAGGAATTAAGATAACTGGGTTAAAATAACCACTCAGAAACAAGTCTCTGTGGGTATAGCCTGCCAATTGCTCAAGAGCCCTGGGATGCGAGGAGGGACATTGAGACAATACATGTGAAAGACATTGAGGCAAGAGTGTCAGCAGTCAGAAAAATTGGGGATAAACAGCCAGTGATGCGGGCTGTGGATTGCAGTCTTCAAGCACAGATGTTGTGCTGGGCTGGGGCTGGACAAAAAGAGTCGCTGAGAGATGAATGTGTGAGCAGAAAAACATGAACTCCTGTTTCAGTTTTGCCTGGAGAATCTATGGAGTGAAAGTTGAGCAAATCCCCAGAGCAAGCTGAATTATCATTAATCATGCAAACTATGACGCTTCTGGGACTATTCTCTGAGTAGGTGGCTTTAGTGGAATTGGCTGTGCTGAGGCAGGGGCATTCCAGTGCATAGATAACAAAATGGCCCATCATACAAAGACCAGAAAACTCCCAACAGTCTTTCTTCACTTAAAATACCGTAGTAGCCATATTTAGCAACTGGCCTGAACTCCTAGCGCAGGCTGACAGTGGTTTTCATGTGTATAGGAAGTCAGGCGTAACGAGGAGACTACGTTAGCACTTCTGGATGGAAAGCTGGCAGAGAGTATGGTGAGAATTCACTGCGGTGTATTAAGTGGTGTGTGGCGCTGCTGTGTGCTGTGTGCCTCTTCCAGATCATGATTGCTTCTGGGGGGACAGTAGAATATTGGATTTTGGCCCTCAAAAGCTTACTTTCCTCTGGGATGCTGAAAGAGCCATTTAAAGCCTGAAGCCGTAGGACAGTCCAGTGAGCATCCATATGTTCCCTGAGTAAGCACAACACTTCCCAAAGCAGAGGCAGAGAGCACAAATAGTGAAGGAATGGTACCTAGAGGAGCCTGACCTGTTCAGCTGCTCAGTAGGACCAGGTTAGGGACCTGTTCCAGTGGAGATCTTCCTCCAGATACAGACCTCATCAGCTGCAGATGTCTGGGAATGAATTGTTTATTTCTGGTGCAAACAGCAAATCTTCCATCCCGTAATCTTAGTGCAGTGTAGGGTAATAGCAGTGTGTGAAGCGATCAGCAGTGTTCTGCATCCAGCCGGTGCCTTCCATGCATACCCTTTCCATAGCACTGTCTAGTCATGTCTTTGCCAAGCATCATCCATGCCTTCATCGTCATTCCTTGCTGGCTGGCCCTGCCAGCTGAGCCCTCTTCAACAGCTCAGGTCCTCGTCGTGTTGAGATATTGAGCACAAAGGCTCACTGGGCTTGGTCTGTGCAGTTAGTGAGTGACGTTTTCCTCCCAAGCAACCAAGTCCAAGTCCATCAGCCCTGAGATCCTCATTCACTGACGTGTCAATGCGTAGCTTTGGACCTGAGACCATTCTGAAAATGCACTGAATCGATGACTGAGTATTTTACACTAATGGTTTCTTCCCCTCTGCAGGGGTTTGACATTAAAAGGACCTCACCTGGAAACCGTAGGAAACTGCACAGGGCCTGAGGTGCTGAGAATCACTGCTTCTACCCCGTGTACCGTGGGGTGGATGGAGACAGCCCCTGGTTGACCAAGGGCTCGCTGAGCATCCGGGGTTTCCATCCCTCAGTCACACCTTAGGGAGAGGCAATCTGCAAGGTGTGCTCTGCAGAAAATGTGTATTCTCAGCCTGAAGTAACGTGCACTTCTTAGATACTCTCTCCTTTGGCATAGCATCCAGTGAAGCTAAAACACTCTGGTTTTCCTTCCCAGCTTCAGTTTGAGCAAACCACACGGTGAATCTGGGAGTTTGCATCTGGGGCCCCAAAAAAAAGCATTTGTAAAGGGATCCTTGCCCCCTTAGCTTTTCTTCTGCTGGCCCTCCCCACTTGACTGTATCCATTACTGTAGCATAGGATATATTTTAAAATCTCTGGACATCTTAAAATGGGAAGGAAAGACACAGATTCCTAGCCATGAGAAACTTAGCAAGACGCTGGAGAGAAAATTCACAGCTGGATGTGTCGTAATTAGCACTAAAAGGAGACCCCCCATCCTGCCACAGTTAAATCTGGAAGTGCGGGGTAAGGATGAGGATCAGTGAGCAGATAGGCAGAGCTGTGTAGCATGCAGCAAGGTCTCTGCCAGTCTCAATATTTAAATCTCTTTCTTTTTTGCAGAAACCGCAAGTCCCCTGATTTCAAATCCTTTCCCGCTTTTACAAAGTAAGTGTGATGGATGTCTGTGGTGTGCAAAGGCGGGGACTTCCACTCTGCGGCCGTGCTGGGCTGCCCTCTTAGCGTTTTTCATTAATAAGTGGTTTTTTAATTATGAGTCCAGGTGTCAAAGAACAAAATGCCTCACCTCTGTGGCTCTGGTTTCAGTTCTAAATGCAACAGAAATCCTTCGGGGTGTTTCTGTGCGTACGCGGCTGCTAGACCATTTAGACTCACTTAACAGCCTTCTGGGAGTTTTGTGAAATATGCCAATAGTACGTGTTCTGAGAGCTTTGAAGAGTGAAAATGAACCCGCGTTGAAGTTACCTTTAAGCACAGGAAAACTTGTCTTCGTGGCTCTGCTCACTAAACACCTTTGCAGAGACAATTCCCTTTGGCCTGAGAGCACAGATGAGAAATGGAAGCCCAGGGCACAGTGGTGAGGAAGCAGGAGGGGAAGGAGAGCAGCTTTGGGATGGGTGGACACAGGTGGTCTCTGCTTGAGATTCTGCCCCGTGTCCTTGATGCTTTCAACTGGCGGAGCTTCTCCCTTTGCCGTACAGTGCGTTTGGTTACTGCTTGGCTTGCGTCTGGATTTTAAGGCTGATCCTATCTGCGCCAACCTCGTACTCCAGGACTGCTGCCCCTTGGTGTAGGACAGCCCTGAGTGCTGCACCTTGAGCATGGCCACAGTGACAGGGGAAGCTTGTTCTTTTTCCACTCACAAATCTGAGCAAGAAGCAAGAGCTTTATTCAGAACATGAGAGTTCGCGTTGGAAGAGAAATCAAATTAGTGCCAACAAATTTAACAACCGTGATGGATTTGGGACTCCCCTTTTTAAAGCGTGCTTCATCGCACCTTTTTTCATAGCACCTCTTTTATTGTCTGAGGTGGGTAGAAGTGACAGCATTTCTGTTTTCAAGAAACTTCCACTTACTTTGGTGTGTGGTGGCGTTTTTCTAGAAGACTGCTGCTGATCCTGATGCGTTGTTTTAGCGGTTTGTGTCAAAGGTACAGGAAGATGCAGTTACACTGTTATTAAAGCTAAAGCCAATGGGAACATTGGGTGAAAACACTGAGAATTTTCCCTTACAGTTCTGCATTTGTTTTTCATCAAAATGTGGATGGAAGTGTTGAAATGTGGGTCTTTTGTGTTGAGGAGGGAGCTGCCTGGGGGCCTGCTCACTGCACTGCCATCAGCCGTTGAGCTGGCTGATGGGTTTCACTCGTGCGCAAGCAGCTCAGGGCGTTTTCTGTTGAAACTTTCTGTTAAAAGCTCTCAACTCATGTTCGCTCCTGGCCTCAAACCAGGCTCTGCTATTTTCTCTGGCTTAGATGTGGCAATGAGACTTAACATGGGAATTAGAGTGATTTATTTAACCTGAGCACAAATGCTGGTTTTTTTCTATCTTGGCTTATACAGCCTGCTGCCTTACTCTGGAGCCTTGTTCACTGGGTGTATATAAAGCACTAATAAAAGTGTCTAATAATAGCCTTGGGGAAAGATGTTTTAAATTGTGCAACCAACTGTGAGTGTTAGTTCTGCGTGGCTCAAGAGACTGAAGAGGCTTCAGCAGCTGCTGGTGCTTTAGGTTTCTGTAAAGGTGTTTTCAGAGAGTGTCTGGGCCACCACTAAGGGTGACGTGAGAGCGTGTCTTGTTCAGAGCAGAGAGGGACCTGGCTCACAAAGGTTTTTTCTGGGGAAGGATGCTTTTGGGGAGAAGGACTGCTTTGTGCTCAACAGCCACCACCCAGTGCAGCACAGACAAATGTCTCTTCTTTTTGGGAAGAAAAGCTCTTTGGTGCTTGATACGAGAAGGGAACACCATTGCTTGGGGATGCTGCGCTGCTTGAGTTTCGACCTTGCAAGAGACTGTTAGAAGTGCCCTGGCATGGGTGTTTGCAGTTCCAATGGCACTGCTTGCTTGCAGCCAGTTTTCTTGTGCTCTCCACTACGCAACCCCTACACAATTCCCTTTTTGTGGGAAAACTCAGGAACGAGAGTCAGGCTCCACTGAGATCAGTTGGCTGTAGAGTAGCCCTTTTTGCTGGCAGACAGGACATGTTCAGAGTGATTTCCTCCTTCTTCCAAATTTTCAAATATTTTGCCTCAGAGTCAGGATCGTGGCTCAGCACAGAGCGATCCTCAAGTTGCTGGAGAGAGGAGAGCACTGCTGCTTCAGAGATGGCCGTCTCTGAGCCTGGGCTCTGCTCCTCTGCATGGCTGGCAGCGGAAGGAGCGAGTAGCACAGCAGCAGCTAGCATGGCTTGAGAGAAAAACCTGCTGTGTCTGCTGCGAGCTCTGGGTGGAAGGGGACGGGCAGTGAGGAGGGAGGGACTGGAGGAGGAAGGAGATGGGAGAAGGTGGTGGGTGGACAGATAATGGAGGAGCAGCGTAAGGCGCTGTGCGGCCAGTTGCCTGTCATGTACTCAGTGTTGTACCCTCTCCCCTTCTCCGATGCCGTGTGGACAGGGCCGGCCCACGCGGTGTTTGCCATTTCATGCACAGACTTCCTGCTGCCAGGTCTAGGCTACAGGTTTGCAGGAGCTTCTGGATGTGCAGCAACAGCACAGAGCCAGAGAGGCAACAGGGCTAATGCGGCATCCTGAACTCTCTGAGGGTCTAATTCAGGATTTCTTATCCTTTTGTGAAGACTTAGAGCCTGTGTCCACCCCTTCTGCAGCAAAGCCTCTGCGTGCAGCTCAGCCATGTGGCAGGACATGGAGAACTGGAGATGCCTGAAGCCTTGCTTTGCAAGGCACGCTGCACGGCAGCATGTGGCAGGGGTCAGGCCGAGCCACTTCCCTGTTGCTGCACAGGCTCTCCAGCTTTTTCTGCTACTGCAGGAAAGTGCATCGTAGCTGCGGCTGAATGTGAACCTATGGGAGAGCTCCAGATGTGTCTCAAAGGCCTGCAGAAAATGCAGCATCTCTGACCACTGCCCCAGCTTCACAGCTCTGGTCTTGGCTATGTGAAAAGCTTGCTTTCTGGAGGTGGGTAGAGGAACAATAGCAGCATGGCATTCGATCTTCTGAGAGGTTTAGTGAAGTGTGAGAATGCTGGGCTACAGGTTTAGAGTTGAGCATTGCAGGACTTTGATGGCTTGTTTGTTAATGTGGGATTTTTGTAGGATGCATTAGTGGCAGTCAGTCGCAGAGAGGCCACGGTCTGCTGCATGCAAACTGCGGGACCTTGTGCCTGTGTCACAGCTTGGCCAACACAGCAAGAGCAGCCAAAGCTCGGGATTTCAGACCATAAAGGGGGAGTGCTCTGAAGGCAGCCTCGGTGAGCTCTCTGCCTGTCTCCTTCCACCTTTCCTGTCTGTGCAAGGTGAGCTTCGGGCTGTTTTCACACCCTCCCTTCCCATCACCCGGCTGCTTGAGGTTGAGCAGTGGTTCCTAGGAGTGAGCTGTGGAAGCAAGGAGAGGAAGGGAAAGCTTCTCACACAGCCTGGTGAATTTGTGCTCCACTCCCTTGAGATACAAGTGTGAAGGAAGGTTGTGTGAGTGCGGCAGCCATTCTGGCCCACTGGGAATTGGTGGAGTCTTGGGATGTTGTAGCCCACGTCCTGCACCAGCCCCAGAGGGCTCAGGGCTCTGAGAGCTGTGGTTACAGGTATGAACTGGAGTCCCAACCTGCAGCCTGAACAAGACAAGTACACAGCAAGAGAGGAGCTGGCACCAGCATGTGTTTAGTACCTGCCCAGGGGAATGCAAACAGAAGGAGCAGGAAGCTTGGAGAAAGCAGAGCACCATCCTCCCCAGCCCATGCCAAGGGAACAGCTAGAAAGTTCACAGCAGCCGGCATTGCGAAGAGGCCCATGGGCCCAAGTGGGAGCCAGGAGCCTGTCTGAGCACGTGGGGTAGATGACTGGTTGTTCCTCGTCAAAAGGGGCTACTGTTGCTCCTGCCGCAACTCCCATCCCCTCAGATGTGGAGCGGCAAGAGGAATTGGTTCCTGAGAAGTGGTGAAGGGTTTGAGGAGGTGAGGGAGAGGCTTTCCAGCAACATGAGACAGGCTGTCTGGGCGGTCCTGCTGCAGCTTGGAAGTCTCTGAGCCATTTCTGAGCTGACTGCACAGCTGCTCTTTCTGCTTTGCTTGTACATAAGGCCTGTCTTGGCCACCCAAAACAATTGAGGCTGTTGGGGAGCACAGGTCTTCTCAGGGGGTTGGTGCGGGCGGCACAGATGGGTGCCACCACCAGCAAAGCCGAGAGGGAAAGGGGAGGTTCGTCGATTGGAGCAGTCATGGCAGGACCTGCGGGCGCCTTGCTGAGTTCAGACCAGCTGGTGGAGAACAGATCCCTTCTGGATGCTGTAAACCTCAGTCTGAGCAAGGAAGAGGAGAGCTGAAATTGCCCCTGGGAAAGGAAAAGCAGAGGTCCTGCAGTGGCGTGAAGGGGACTGTGCTCCTAGGGAGGAGAAAGGGGCACGAGTGTGGCTCACAGGGGTCTTCAGAGCAGTTTTGAGAACTTTTCTAGTTAACTCTACCTTTCAGTTGCAAGCAGAAATCAAAGGGAGAGGGGGTTTACTCGCTGTGCGTACCAGCCCGGATGAGCAGTTCTTTTCCAGTGGTGGCTTTTGCCTGGTTTCAGATACAGATTGCCTCTTTCTTCTCTCCACCTTGCAGATCCCTCTCCCTCTTCTAGCACTGAGGACACATCCCCCCTCCTTCCAGCTGGCCTGACTGTTTCCAGCTCTCTGCACTGTGGAGCATAAGGGGCTTAGAATCTGAAATCGCAGAAGTGTGAGGGTTGAGAAAGCCCTGGGAAGTAAAGCAAATTCATTCATTTCCCACAGGGTTTCTGCACATCCTCCCAAGCGTCCCTTCCATCCTCCCCAGGAAAGAGTTTTGAATTGTGGATGAATTTAAATTTTATCCCTAGTTTTAACTCATTTTTATTTGTGGCAAACTGTAGACTTCTATGGCTCTTTGTCTCAAAAATATTTAGAAAACGTTTTGGCATTTTCAGAATGCAAGATTGGTTTTTGAAAGTGGGCAGTGATTTTGTTTCCAGAGGTGAACGTTTCTGTAGTAGAACAGAAGGGCAGGGTTTTGGAAATGGCATGAAATTCAACAGGATTTTTCTGAGAAGAATCACAAATGAGAGACCTTTCAGAGTCACTGAGTGTACGGTATGTTGTAGTGGCAGAGGGAGGAGCTTGAGATGAAGAACTGTGGAGACCCTGATGGTCACTGCATGGTGGATGTAGATGGGGAGGACCCAGAAAAGACGGGTCGGGAGTGAAGAGGAGAGCTAGAAGAAAGACAGCACAGGTTTATGGTGTTAATACAAGCTGAGAATGTAACTGCAGGAAGGTAAAGCAGCTCAGTGAGACAAAATAAGGTAAGAAGGAAATAAGATGTAGTGAAACAGGAGAGAAATGAAACGTGAGAAATGTGCTGCTTGGAGAGTGCTGGATGTATGTGAGTGATTTGCTTCCCAGCAAGGCGCCCTGTAACTGAGCTTAGGGGAAGAGTTGTTCTGGTAGCTGCTTGGAAACCTAATTCTAGGGGAATTGTGGAGTTTGTACTTGTTGGGAGCAGAGAAGAGTCTTGGACTGCAGCAGTGAAGATTGCTCTGCCACCGCTTTCTCTGGACAAGGTTACTACAGGCAGATGGCAGAAGGGAACGTATGTGCCTGCCTGTGTTTAAATGGCACACGGAGACCTGAAGGTGTCCCAGGGAACTGCAGTGTGACATCTCTACATTTCAGACTTCCTGGAGCACCTGAGATGTACGGCATGTTCTGTTCTCCCCAGCCCGTTGTAGGGGAAGGGGCTGCAGCAAAGCAATAGGGCAAAGAACAGGGGTGGTGGCTTTGTAAGCTACCCTGGCTGCAGCACCACAGCTCTTCTGACCCTGCCAGGAACCTGTCAGCACCATTCAGCAGGCTCTTTGAAGTGTGATTAACCGAATGTTAATTTTGACACTTGAAGGAGGAGTCAACCTACTTTGTTTGAGACATTGCCATCTGAGCAGTCTGGGCTCCGTAAGCAGTGGGGGCAAATAGGTGCATCTGTAACACAAGTCATCTGACACTGAAACGTGTATCTAAGAGGGATGGTTCGCACCCATCTGGGGTCTTCTCTTCTCCTCTAAACAATTAGATTACATTGCACCTCCTATGGCATTTTACCACAACTGACTATTTCACTAATCACTGATGATTTCAACAGAAACAGCCAGTCTGTGTTAATTCCGCTGCTTCTGAAAGTCCTAAGTGTGCCACTCAGCTGCCAGTGTCTTCCCTTTTTTTCACAAGCACAGTTACTTAAGTACAGTGTTTCCAGACTTCCTCTCTACAGCAAAGCACAGGAGTAGCATCACAAGTAAACACAGTAAGTTAAATAAAGTGTTGAGCACAACTCCTCCAGATGGAGCTGGCTCCAGTGTTTCAGAGGGCTGTAGGTTCTGTGGGGCAGGCACAGCAGGGTGTTGAACCTTACCGTGTGTAAGTGTAGCTTATACGAACCGCTCATGGTCACATATTATGTTTGTCCTCGCAGCTTCCTGTAGCCATCTGATGAATTCTGGGTTTTGCTACCTGAGGTAGATTTCTTGCAAATTATAGCCAAGTCAGGCTTGTGCTTTCCTCTGTTTTGGTTCTTCCATCCTGGATGCTGGTGCTTTTGCTTGGTCATTGATACAGAATGTGTTTTTCTTTTCGAGCATAGATACAGATTTCTGGTATATTGTAGCGATAGACCTTGCTCTGTGTGTGTGCCAGGTGTTTATACGCAAAGCTGTTTGTATGCCACATGCTTGCATTTGTCCAGTCTGCTGTTGCAAAATAAAATGCCACAGCGTAAGTGGTGACAGTGTGCTGGTATATGTGGAGGTATAGAAGCAAACTGCAATGTTAACATACTTCAGCCACCGTAGTTCTATGTACCATCTGTCAACTAAAGCACTCAACTAATACTGTTTAAACAAGCAACTGCAAACATTTGCTATTAGGTTAATTCAGTGGAAAAAATGCACTTTTGACATACTTGTTAGGACAGAACTAAACATATCTTTCAGCTCATGAGGGAGCTCTGCACCCAGCTCTTTCCTGTCTCCAGCTCATCCATATTACTCTGGCAACACGGCTCTCCTGCTCTGCTCTCAGCCTTCTGGCACAGCTCTGATTTCTGTGCTTCTTCCCCTCCACCTCTGCTTACCCCGGCGACTTGCTGCTGCCGAGCCCAGTGGCACTCACCATGCCCCAGTCTCGCTGCACTTGTTGACAGCCATAAAAAAACCCCCAAGCTGAGTTCCCCCGTGGCACTTCTCCAAGCCCCAACTTCTGAGCAACCGGATGCTCCTTGTCTTACTCAGGAGAGGCAGCAGAGGCTGGCATTTGGCAGAACTGGATATAAATGAATTCACCATGCTTTGCTTTCAGGCTTAAGACCAACAAGGATAGGCTTAAAGCAGCCTGCAGCAGGCATGAGCTAGTGAAGCCCAGGCAGTGTGTAGCCTCGCAGATCTTTGTGCAAACTCACCGAGACCCCGTGCACGCACACGCACCGGCAGGTGCTTCGCTTCGGTGCACGAGCTGCCCCTCTGCTCTCCCCGGCCTTCTCGTGGCAGTACAGTGAAGCGTGTGGAAGAGTGCCCGACCCAGCCCAAGGAAGCAGTGACGTGCCCCAGCTCTTCCCAAATCTCAGCCCGAGCCCTGCAGGTTCGGTTCTAAGGAGCTGCTGTGACGTGCACACGTGGGCTGAGGTGACAAGGACCGGGCCCTAAGGCACTGCCCCACTACTGTACAAACTGAAGTATGCACGTGTGCTGCTTCCCTGCATACTCTGTATAATTCTTCTGAACTGATTTCTCCCAAACAGAGCCTTACACCTGTGGAGCTTGTGGAATCCAGTTCCAGTTTTATAACAATCTCCTGGAGCACATGCAGTCCCATGCAGGTAAGCTGGGCACTTCGACTCGCTTAAAGCGGAGAATTAAATTCTGCGCTGATGCCTGGTGTTGACCCCGTTGTGTGTCAATCGAGCGTTCTGTGCTCACGGTTTCCAAAGCCCCAGTAATTTCACCTGCAGCAAAAAAAAGATACTCAAAGGCTGGAGCACATAGCAGTGGCTGAAAGAATGCAAGGCTCACCGGTGTACCATAAATACTGCTCCTTTCCCTAGGAAGAGAGGAAACGTGCCATGCTAGCACAGAGCACATCAAACTACTCGTTCCCTTTATCCAAAAGTATCTAGGGAATGCTTGTTGCGTAAGCATTAACGGGTCACTCCTACAGCAGATGAAATCCCTCCTGCAAAAAAGAGTAGTTCTCACTGAAGCAAACAAAGCAAAAATGCTTGCAGGGCAGCAGAGCCTTTGCCCACACAAGTCTTTTTCTGTGCTTGTGTCTTCGGGAGTTCTGCAAAGGACTGAAATGTGTTCTCAGAAGAGGAATTTGCTCTATCAGCAGTTGTGTTCGTTTCCTTTTCAGCTCTCTTCAAAAGAAAATTCTGAGGAGTAGTTCCACTACTTTGTTTCTAAGCCACCTTTTTTGTTTTCTATCTCAGTACATAAGAGACGTTTTTAAAATTTCAAAGCCGAAGCTGTTTCAAAGACAGCATTCAGAATATTCAAAAACGTAGACATTTTTGCAGGATGTGTAGATTTTTTTGATATTGGCAGAATTTTTTTCTTTTTTTCCTCTTGAATGAAAATTCAAGTGAATTAACACAGGCGTACAAATTAATTCACCCTTGACAGACCCGTGTTCTCCAACAGACAGCTGCTCTGTTGAGACACATGTTCAGTGCTTATGTTTGCCCTCACTTAGCAGGTAAGCCCTGAGTAGAGCGGCACAGAAGGACAAGTGACTTGAGGAAAAGCATATTTTCCATTCTGTAACAGTAATTCTACTTGAAGTTCTTACCTTGTTCTGTGTTTTAGTTTTAGATGTGATTTTAGTGAGTGTCCCATGAGTTCCTTAGCTACGTGGTTCCTTGGCTACTGTTCAGTTCTCCTTGGTGAATCTTAGTGCAGGCTTTGTGTGTTGTTCAGCAGCTACTTTATCTATCATCTATGTAATGTTATGAAGAGGCATTTAGGGTGATTCATGGTGAGGTGGTATGAGTTTTGTGGATGTTATTTTCTGTTAAGAGCGTAAGCTGGTTAATGTGGAATAATTTGACTTCATGTTACACGGAGGAATGGGGAAGCTCCGCTCAGGGGAGCGGCTGGCGTCGTTGGGGTCTGGTCTCGCTGTTTGTAATGGCGGTTTCTGCTTGCTTCCATGCTGCATCCTGACCATCCTGATCCTGGCTCTGGTCTCTGGTACTGAAATGCAACATTTTGAGTTACAGCTCTTGGCGACACTGAGGAGCTGCAAAGGAGGGACCAAGGCTAAAATGTCAAAGGGGAGAATGGCAGTTCACTGCCAAGGTGTGAGCTGTTGAAAATTTTAACCTAGTGCTGTCTGCAGCTTCTTCCTTCTCTCTTCTTTACAAATGACCCCTGGCTTCTGGGCTTGTTCACCTGGGTTACTTTGGACACAGAACAGGGCTGGAGGGAACAGGTATCTGTCATCTGACTCATGTAATGGCAGCAGAGATAATAATAAATAAATAATAAATGGATAAATGCCTTCTCCCCAACTCAGGATTGCTCCTATTAAACTCTGTATTTTCTCATCTCTCTCTGCTCTGTTTGTAAGTCACTGTCTTCTGCTTGGCTGCTTCCCCCTGAATGTCTCACTGGTACAGTGACAGCAAGCTTGTCCCTGTCTTCTCTACGTGCTTTCTCCAGGCATCACCAAGGCTGCCGCCTGCAAAAGCAGCTGTCCCTTGCTCTGGCATCTCTGCACGTGTGGCTTGCCGATCCTGTGCTCCTGCCTCTTCCTCTGGAGGGAACAGCAGCCTTTCCTCCAGATCTAGGCATGTGGGGGCAAGTGGTGTGGTATTTGCTACTGTGGGATGAGAGCAGAACAAAGTAAGAGGTGTGAAAGCTGCGGGCAGCTTTGGGGGATGTCCGGTCCTGGGTACTGGGCTCGAGCAGAGCAGCAGTGGAGCTTGCACAGGGCTTGCAGTCGCCGTTTGTTGCCTTTTTGCCTGTCAGAGCTCGGGGATTTCCATATCCAAGAAGCAGCATCAGTGCGACATCTCTGAAGCCTGGGAGCGCAAAGACCTTGCAGCAGTGAGCGGAACTGGTGGCACAGGATCCACATACTGGGGACACTGGCATAGTAGCAGTTTGTACCAGTCCATATGCCTGGCTCAAGGAATGTTTCATTATGGGGATGCAGAGATACAAGAAGCCCACGTGGGGCAGATACTCCCTCAGTGAATGTGTTCAGGAGTCCAGTTTGGCTTATCATGTCTGATGCAAAGGGCTGATCTCTTCTAACTAAATGTGAAGCATCCACTGAGACCCTTTCGCAAGTGACTGAAGGCGGGGAATGAAGTTGGGGGCCTCAAGGAGCAAAAGCAGGGACATACTGGTTCTTGAGTCGTTCAGAGGGCTGAAACTTCTAGAAGGCTAGAGGGTAATAAGGAGAGATTATAGCTCCATAAAGCAGCTACACAATGAGAAGAAGCAATTAGAATGTAAATTGGATGCTGAAAGGCAGAAATAGAACAGCAGAACACCAGGCAAAGGAATTTGCTCTGTAATTACACCGTACAATATACAGCTTTGACTCCCTTTAGAGTACTTTGTTCAGGTCGACTGCCACCATATAATGCCCTTCCTACAATCTAGAGCTAAAAAAATAAAAGGACAGCTAGGCTGAACCTAGATTAAAGGTTTGGAGGCATGAAGAGAAATTAAAGAACCATGATCTGTGTAGTTCACAGACTGCCTGATAAGGAAGGTGAGGCTGAAATGCACATATCTCATTAATGCCATATCAAATGCCAGCAAATATTCGTATATAAGTCCCTTATTAGGAAATAGATAAAGAGTTGGGGGGAGGAAATACAGAGGATTTCTCCCCCTACCCACCCCTCACCAAGACAAGGAGGGCCTGAACCATCAATAAAGTTTGCCTACCTGCAGATTTTTGGAGTTGAGGACACTGGTGGCATTAGCTCCGGAGCAATTAGTCTAGGCAAATACAGGGGGGAACAGTGATGTGTTATATCTGATCACTGGCATTCACTGGAGCACCAGACTCTTCACGTCTCTTCCATACGTTCACATACAGTCCTCGAGGCAGTCCCAGAGTCTACCCTGGTTGTGTCATATCCTGGATTGCTCTTAGGTATTGATCCAGTCTGTGGCTGTTCATCAGCAAGGTTTGTGAATGCCCCAGCAGTTAACATGCAGAGCTGCTCAAATTTGAGAGGACTTGCTTGTAAGGAAAAGAGCACTGGAGTTTCATCACATCATTGCTTTTCTCTAGGTCCTTGCTGATCTCCCTTCTGTCCCAGGTCATTGCCACACACGAAGGAGAGCAACTTTGCCCTCTCCTGATTGTTCTGATGGGCAGCCCACTGCTCTGCCCAGCGCCAGATCAGCCTGGGCTGCAGAGCAGAGCCCCTGTGTGTGCCTCAGGAACGCTCTGCTGGCTGGAGCGCTGGGGCAGGACCCGTTTCACAGCACGCTGGCGTGCCTGGGCTATAGATACTGCCGCCTGAGCTGATCAGCTTGGACTGCCTTTATAATGAGTGGAGAAGTCAGTGCCTCCAGGTGAGTTCAGAGCGTGATGGATCTTACACTACAAGAGGCATATAGTTCTGTCTGAGTGAATGAATCACACTCTTAAGCCTCTTGCACCACTGAGTGTAAGAGGAGCCCTAAACGGTCACTTTGAAGAGAGGTGTGTCTAACAGAGATGTCCAAAATTAGGTGAGATGAGTTCATCTGTGATGAGTAAAGGATCTGTTTTGTCTTTGTTGTTTTTAATTCCATCCTTCTGTTCAGCCTGGTCATCGGTCTCTCCCATCTTTCTCCTTCCTCTTCCTCCTCTCTTCATTTTGCACTTAATTGTTGCTTCACAGCCTATTTCAGAGCACAATTTCGTAGTGAAGCATAGTAAGAGCTAGAAGATTTCCTCTAAAGAGTGGGGAGAAGTTTTTGGGGCACAGGAGAGGAAAGAACGTGGATTTGATACAGAATTTACTGATCTTGACTGCATTTCCTTGAAAGATCCCATCAGATGAGCAGCCAAAGTGTTCAGCCCAGTTACATACACAGGAGCATGAACACAAAGACCCCTAGGGCAGTTGGTATCTCTGCAGCCGTAGGGAGGAACAATCTTTGGTCATACTCCAGAAACTTGGCTTTTTTTCTTTTTGTTTCCAGTCTGAGGTAGCAGTGAGCAGCTCAAGAGGAGACTGGCCCTCTCTACAGTGGGAGGAAACCATGTATGAAGATTGTAATAATATCCTTAGATACAGAGGAGTTGAGCATAGCTCGGAAAACAAAGTACTTAACAGCAAAGAAGAGGGAAGCCACTTGCAGTGCAGAAAGAAGCAGTAAGGCAAACGAAGGATAAATGTTTGTTACACCTCTTTTCATTTCGAAAGCTAGCAAATTGCACAAGTCAGGCTGTACAAGGAACATCTATTCCTCCTGGTGTGCAGCTTCAGGTGACTGGGAGACATTTCTCAAGGTGTTTTGAGGGCATCAATGTCACCGATGCACAGAAAAAGCCATTGTCATTTCGGCCACATTTTGGGAGGTGATAGGTTACAAGTCCAAAGACAGTTTCGAGGTTCCTGACGATACTGTGCCCTCACTGAAAACTGCTTAAGAGCTCCAGAGAATGTAGTAGATTGTTGTTACCTTAGTTAAGGGAACCATAAGTAAATGCTAAGCAGATGGGCACTGTTTCCCTTTGTTTGTGCTTCTAACACCTCCCTGTCTCTTGCCCCACAGCTGACAACGAGAACAATATTGCCTCTAGCCAGCCCAGATCACCTCTGGCTGTTGTTGAAGAAAAGTGGAAACCACAGCTCCAAAGAAATAACGCCAACAATAGTACGTAGCAGCGTTTGCTCTTCCATTCTGGGCTTACCTGTCCGCTTTGAACAAGTGACTGCCAGAGGGGGTGCAGCAGTGATGGGCATTGCACAAGACCCTTGTCCTCACCTAACTGCAGTTGATTTCATCCAGAGCAGAGCACCCCTTCCCATTGCAGGAGCGCTGGAACCCTGCAGGGGCGGTTGGAAAAGATTGTAAGGAAGATGTGTTTGGGAATTCCTGGAAAAAGTTAACTTCTGATCCAAGCTCAGGCTTTCCAGCCTGGGGTTAAAAACCTGATCCAGTTGTCATGGTGTGACATAGGCATAACCTGTCACTCCCTCTGCTGGCAGGCAGCCAGCGTCTGGCTTTATCCCCGGCTCATCCTGTGAGCTTGTGCTTTACCACGGGCAAAGGTAAAATACAGCCCTGTGGGAAATCAGTTCCACAGCAGCAGGGAAATCAGCAGCCTAGGGGAAGGGTGATAGAAAAACATGGTGCTTGTGTGTTCTGGCCAAAAATGACATTCACGTTGCCCAAAATCAGCCACAAAAAGTGAGGTTGCCTCAGTTCGGAGGAAGAAGTGGAAACTTGGGCTTCAGCACTGTTTGAGATGGTGGAGGAAGTTGTATGCTTCACTGAAGGAACTCCTTAAAATAACTGTCTCAAAGAAAAGGTTCAAGTCACAAAAATGGAAAGATGTCCAGCTTTCCAGCTGGGCTAAGCTGTGACCAGCAGCCTGTAGACATGGGTAGCAAACGGCACACAGGTGACCATGTAACGTACCTAGGCAGTTCCTCAGTGAGCACCACCGAGATGCCATTGGTTTAGGCTCTGGATTGTGAGTAGATAACGTGTGCTCTGTCTCACTCCCCACCGCAGGGAAAGCATGCAGATAAACTCCTTGCTGCCCTAATTGAGTGCAAGGCCTGTCCGTGGAGGTTCCTCTGTCCAGAAACCCCTTGGGGAAGAAAGCCAGGGTTGGAGATGTCTCTTCCATCATCTGGGCATGTTCCACCTCTTTGGGTCTCTCTCGGAATTATTCTGTGACTTCCTCCTCTCTCCTGTTGCAGAGGAGCAATGCTCATACAGTGCTTTCTCTCCCTCCTTGTATTTCACTGCAGCATCCACACGCGGTTCAGTAGGGAACAGCGCGATCCCAGAGAAGGAGCGGCAGAACATTGCCGAGAGGCTCCTGAGGGTGATGTGCACTGACCTTGGGGCTCTGAGCGTGGTGAGCGGGAAGGAATTCATCAAGCTCGCCCAGACCCTGGTGGATAGTGGAGCTCGCTATGGTGCCTTCTCTGTCACCGAAATCCTTGGCAATTTCAACACACTGGCTCTGAAGCATTTGCCTCGGATGTACAACCAAGTGAAGGTGAAAGTCACCTGCGCCCTGGGCAGCAACGCCTGCCTTGGCATCGGTGTCACGTGCCACTCGCAGAGCATCGGCCCCGATTCTTGCTACATCCTGACAGCTTATCAGGTGGAGGGCAACCACATCAAGAGTTACGTCCTGGGAATTAAGGGCGTAGACATTCGAGATAATGGTGATTTTATCCACCACTGGGTACAGAATGTGCTCTCGGAGTTTGTGATGTCAGAGATCAGGACGGTGTACGTCACAGACTGCAAGGTCAATTCCTCTGCGTTCTCCAAGGCAGGCATGTGCTTGCGTTGTTCGGCCTGTGCCTTGAACTCAGTAGTGCAGAGTGTGCTGAACAAGCGAACACTACAGGCTCGCAATATGCACGAAGTGATCGAGCTCCTGAATGTCTGTGAAGATCTGGCAGGATCCACGGGCCTCTCAAAGGAGACCTTTGGCTCCCTGGAAGAGACCTCTCCCCCACCCTGCTGGAACTCAGTCACCGACTCCCTCCTGCTCGTCCATGAGCGCTACGAGCAGATCTGCGAGTTCTACAGCAGGGCCAAGAAGATGAACCTCATCCAAAACCTGAACAAACACCTGCTCAGCAACCTGGCGGCCATTTTGGCGCCAGTGAAACAGGCAGTGATTGAGCTGAGCAACGAGAGCCGGCCCACCTTGCAGCTGGTACTGCCCACCTACGTCAAACTGGAGAAACTGTTCACTTCCAAAGCTAACGATGCTGGTGTGGTCAGCAAACTCTGCCACCTCTTCTTGGAGGCACTGAAGGAGAACTTCAAAGTTCATTCGGCACACAAGGTAGCCATGATCTTAGACCCTCAGCAGAAGCTGCGGCCCGTCCCACCATACCAGCATGAAGAGATCATTGGCAAGGTCTGTGAGCTGATCAATGAGGTGAAAGAGTCCTGGGCAGAAGAAACAGAATTTGAACCTTCAACCAAGAAGCCTCGGGCAGCAGGGGAAGCCACAGCAGCTCAGGAAGAAGATTGGTTCGGGAAAAATGAAGTCTATGATTATTTGCAAGAACCTCTCTTCCAGGCCACCCCTGACCTGTTTCAGTACTGGTCGTGTGTTACCCAAAAGCATACAAAACTAGCCAAGCTAGCCTTTTGGCTCTTAGCAGTGCCTGCTGTTGGTGCCAGAAGCGAATGTGTAAATATGTGTGAGCAGGCTCTCTTAATCAAAAGGAGACGGCTACTCAGTCCAGAAGACATGAACAAACTCATGTTTTTGAAGTCCAACATGCTTTAAGACTGTCTTTTAATTAAAACAAAACTTTAAAACACTGTTCCAAACAAAGAAAAAGAATTTTAAGTTCTAAACACTGTGGACCTCATTATGAATGCCCCTGGAAACCAAGTGCTTTTTTATATATATATAAAAATATAAATATATATAAAATTAAGATTGAAAGGAAAGCTGAGCACGTGAGAGAGACAGCCCTCTGCCAGGAACGTGCTCCTTTCCATAGATAGTGTGTGGACTTGACAGACTTTCTAATGTTTTCAAGTGGGCAGACGAATGGGAGGCTGATGTTCTAAAGTCTTCAGGCAGCTGAGATCTAAAGTGACTTGAAGTTTCTTTTGTTTCTCCTCCACCCCACCTTTCCTCTTGTCCCCTGGGCCATCTTGCCATGGATAATCAGACTACATTGAACAGACCAGTTCTGCACTGGACTTTGCTCCTTTGAATAACTGTACACCTTGAGGGCATTTGTCTGCAGCCTTCTTGACATACGGTGCATGTTATCAGGGCAGCTGTGTTTTATGAACACCAGTATCTTTAGAAATCAGGAAGGGAGACTCAAAGGGTTTTTTTAATTTTATTTTTAACTTTTTCATATACTTTTTTTCCAAAAAACAAAAGTTACTCTTCTGTCTCCGCTCCTAGTTTTGAGTTTAACATGTTAGCTAGTGATTATGAGTTTGATTTAAAACTAAGAGAAATGGTTCATGGCAGAAAATGTCTGTAATTGTTATGTTTCTTGGATTTATTTTTTTACAGCATAATTTCTTTTCTGAATTCCCAGTGTTAAGTAGCTTCTCTGTGAATTTTGTACATCAGGGTTTCTCAGACTTGTTCTAGAGTAGCCCATTTGCGAGTAAATACTATCCTTATAGGAACCACAGCAGTTGCTTATATGTAAAAGCTAGAAACCAGGAAAAGCGAGCAAGTGGTGACAGCACAGGTGTCTGCGGGCCACCAGCAAGCTTGCCGGGGTCTGCCAGCTGCCATTGAGAACCCTTGTACCGAAACTTTTTGTAAAAAAGTTTCTCAGTACCCACACTCAAAATAACCTTCACAAGGCCGAGGACAAACCAAGGTGTATGATTTTTCAGGGGAACAAAGATCATCAGTTTTGTCAAACCGGGGTTTGAAGGAAGCTTAGAGAAGTGCATGGGCTCAAAGATCCTTCTGAATGTAAGTGCTCCTGATTGAGTGCAAAGAATATCTTCCCATTTTATTTAGAATGGTTTCCTCTAGTAGCACGAATGTCTTTTGAATACCTACAGTGCATTACACTACTTGTTATGTTGCCGAATTGTTCTGGCTAGGAAGGCCACGGGCCCGTAAACGTTCACACTTACAGGCACACCCCAAATGCAATTAGAGATCACCATAATGCAACAACATCTCAGTCACTCTGCTGTCCTCCAAGACCAGTGCTCTGCTGTGTCCAGTGACCGGAGGCACAGTTCACGGGCTGCTGGATGGGATCTCTGCAGGCTGTCAGGTTTGGTGCCTCTTGGACCATTCCCAGCTTCTGGTGCCAAACTGTTAATTTTTCATCGCTGAGACTTGTGTCCCGGAGGCAAATTGAAGCAAATTGTTATTTTTGAAGTAGTCTCTCCTGCTTCCAGTCGTGTGCTCTGGAGCTGCAGTCATGGTGGCAGCAGAGCATCACCAGAGGTTCAGGAGGATGGACTTGCTCAGCTCCACACGGGCAGGCTGGAGGCTGAAGCCCTTCAACAGTGCGGGGGTGTTCTCTGGTGGCTGACAATGCAGTGGTGAGACTGGGGGCCCTCTTTGGAGCGCTGCTGTGGAACAGATTTTAAACCGAGATCCCACCTGCCCGTCTCTGGTTGTCATAGACATTGCAAGTCCCAAGACATGAGAAATGGCAAACCCAATCTGTCAGGCTTTGTGTGCAGATGCCTGGAACCTGGCAGGCACTAACTGACAGCTTCTCTGCCACGGGGCTCGGACAGGGGAACAGTTTGCATGCCAGAGACCTTCCCTAGGTCAGGGTCACTGAGGATAGCTCTTTGCACCCAGCTGTCTTGCCCTTTTCAGCCTAGAAACAGGACCTGCTGTTAGCTCGAGTCTAGCGTTTGCATTGACCTCTCAGCACTGTGACTGGCTTTGGGGCAAAACTAGTTGTATCCTAAATGTAAGTCTTGCAGATGGCTGTCCCGGCGCAGTCTGCAACCCCACTGACAGCGGCAGGGCCAGCAGCACTTGAAGATGAGCTGCCAAGGCAGAGGCACTTGGACATCTTATTTCTCTGGCAGTGGCTTTTGCAAGTGGAGGTGTTGGTTGTAGGGCCAACTTTTCTTCTTGCTGGTTTTGTTTTCTCCCGTACAAATCCCGCCTGCCCAGCCATCAGCTGGCCCCGTGGTAGCACATCTGTTTGCATTGGCAGTGCAGGAGAAACCCCTAACAAACAATAACTAAGCCTCAAACTACAAACAAAAAACCTAAGTGAGATGTATGCCAATTAGAAAGCATTTGTGCTGCGCTGCTGTTCCCATTGAAAAGCACAAGGTACCCTGCAGCAAGAAAACTTGGCTGGAGGATGGAATCCAAAGCAAGATTGGCTTTTGAGGGTACAGAGTGTGTACTGTGCAGCTCAGCTAATGGGCAGAACTGGGGACAGGTTTTGTAGGTCTTTCTCCTGATGGCACATTACACCTTTTGGATTGGTTTGCCTGAGAGCCACTAACAGGCTCTTCAATGCTCAGGCAAATGTGCAAACCCCTTGTGTTCCTTTGAAAAGAAAGCTCCAAACGCCAACACTGCTTTGCTGAGGGACAGGCTGATAACTTCTGTGGGATTTGCCAACTTGGGCTCATTGTGTTGTCTGTCTGCAAGGGCAGGGAAGTGGACAAAGCAGAGTTAGCACAGGTTTAAAGCCCTGGAATTGGGAATGAGGTAAAATTGCAGTCATTTGTGCAACCATTTGATGCCAGGCTGTGCACAGCCAGGCTGAGCTGGACCGTGGCTGCACAGCCAGGGTGTGCAAACAGGAAAGCCACAGCCACCCTTAACTGCCAGCCCGTTCTCCCCTTCTCCTTTTTACAGTGTGGTTTTGGCACCAGATCTGGAGCTTTCTTGCTGTGACAACCAAAGAGGGGGATTGACTGGCCCTCTCCACCATCCGAGTAACTGTCCCCTCCAAGGCAGCTTTGGTTGTAGTTGCACTAATGGTGGATGTTAAGCACACATGCAGCAATGTCTGGCAGATGAGATTCTCCCAAAGACTTAAAAACTCAACTTCACAGCTGAAAAAGCAAAATAAAACGTAAAGCCCTAAAATGGAGCAATCTGGGAAGTTGGTGAGAAGAGGAGCTGGTTGGCCAGCCCCCTTCTCCAGCGACTCAGTGGAAGAAGCCACAGCTTTTTGTGGTCACAGGGTGTTCTGCTCAGAGGAGCTGTTCATGCTGTGTCTGCTCACAGGCTGACTTTTGTCTGATACGCCTCATTGAGAGGAGAGAAGCACGTCTGGAGCACCTAAATGCCAAGATTTTGCTCCTGTTTCTCCTTCCCTCCTCAAGACTTGGATTTGCATTCTAGGGAGCACAGATACTTTACCAAGGTCTGAATTTTGGAAGCTCTTAATTTGCCAGGTTACTCCAACCCAAACTATTCTATGATTCTGTTCTATGATTGGCTTGGCGATGTGGAGCAGCACTTGTGCTGTGATGAGCACTGCCCATCCTGGGGTGGGAGACCGGAGAGGAGTCTCCTAGTTTGGCCAGAGTTGTCATGACATTCTGCTCCCTTTGAGCTGGGAGGAGAAGTCTTCAGAATTGGGATCATCCTCTGGTAGGTCATGTTGGGAATTTGCCTTCTTGTTTGTTTGTTTTCTTTACTCGCACTTGAGAAATGTTTTGGGATACGAAAACAGCATATGCGTCCTCCAGGCATTCGTTTCTGCTGCTTGCTCTGTGCCTGACCTCACAAACTTCTCTTTCTGACTTCACAGTTTGCTTTGGGAGGGGTTACGATCTTCAGGTGGGGAGCAAGCACCAACAGAAGATGAACTGTAAAGAATGAAGGGCCTTCCAGGCCTGTCTGAAGATCCTTGTTAGTAGAAAACTGAGAAAGTGGGATGCGAAGGCAGAGCTCTTCAAAACAGAAGGTTGTTTCCATGTGAGTAGTATCGGCCAGGGGGTCAGTGGAGAACATGGAGCCCAGATGTCTCCTGTGTGTCTCTTCTCCCTCTGTCTCTAGCAGTACAGAGTAGTTGTGTTCTGGCTTGCAGGGTGGGCTCAGTGTCTTGCACCTGGGTCGGTTTCAGGTGGAAGTAAGCTTCCTTTCTGTCAAAGCTGTGTGTCTGTTCTGAGAAAACTGATTTGGTGGTATTTGAACTAGTGCAATCTGGAAAACTTTCTGTGAAAGCCAACTGTGGGCTCAGGTTTTGTCTAATTCAATTGTCTGTTAATTGCTGGTTAAACCAGTTTAACTTTGAGGTGAATTGATTTAAGCATCCACGTGAACCACCTGCACTGGTTTAACTGCGCTTGCTGGGTGTTCTCCCCTGCTCATCAGAGAATACGTCCAGAAGCAGCTCAGGGAGTCATGACCCTTACGTGAATTTTGCAAATGACGTTCTGGCAGATGCTCTTAAAGCTCGGGAATGACTGAAAACAGAGGGGAGACACTTCTGAACATCGCTTGAGCTCTAAATTGTGATATCTGAGTTAATAGAGTATTCAGTGGAGTTGTCTCAGGTTGGTTGATTTGTTTTTCTCCAACTGCTTGCAATAACGTGGAAGGTTTAGCGTGAGAAGACATTACCACATATGTTTGTATTGTTGGGTGACTCTGCTCAGCCTTACCCAGTCTGAGAGACCGTTTCCACTTGCTGGATCCCGCGGTAGGCAAGCCAGGACGAGGAGTTGCACAGGAGCAGGGTGACTGAGACACTGTGCTACTCAGTGCTGTGTGCATTTCTAGACAGCACCGAGTTACTGAGAAATCAAAAGACAGTAGAAGAGCAGCCAAGAAGTTACTCAAAGGCTGGGAGTGCTGCTCCGTTCTGAAGAAAGACTCGGATCTCTAATTGCATCTCTCTGGCTAAAGGAGGTGGAGAGGAGCTCCTGTGAGCATTCAGAGGGAGCACACGCAGGAAGGGACAAGTTGTTCCCTATGGAATAATTAGGATTAAGAGGATGGAAATGAACAAAAAAGACACTAAAGGCAGATTCTGGGAAACCTTTTCAGGGAGGAGAAACGTGTTGGTCTGGGAGGAGTCTGTTACAGGGATGTTTTCTGAGCCCTATGATTTAACACAAGGCCGTACAGGTACACGGCGCACGCTCCGTCAGGCACAGGGCTGCTTTGGACTGTGCCGAGGAAAGAGACTGGACGTAGAGGTGGGAAATGCCCGTCCTGCCCGATAGGTCTAGGAGGGTTCACACAGCATCTTCCTCGGCATCCTCCCCTTCCCCACTGGTACCAAACCCTTCCCAGCACTCCAGTATATGTGTTAGCCAGGTGTCCTAAAGGAGCGAGGTCGCTGACCGGCAGGAGGGGCAGAGGAGAAAACACCAGTTGAG